ACCAAATGCAGAAAATACATGCAATAGATGTGGAGGAAAAGGGCACTGGTCACGTACCTGTCGTACGCCAAAGCACCTGGTTGAGCTTTATCAAGTCTCCCTGAAGAAGACAGAGAAAAATGCCAAAGCAAATTTTATTTCTAAATATAATTTAGACTTCATGCATTTGGGTGTAGCTGATTACTTTGCACTTCCAGAAGGAGAAACAAGTCATGTAATTGGTAGTGATCTGTAGAAATGTAAATATTTTAATTTTTGTTGTTTGTAATAGATAGTATGGTTATGTAATTGATGTACATAAATAAAAGTTATGCTTTGATAATGATATTTACTATAATATATTTTATTTATGTCATTTTGAAGAATATGGATAATTCTCAAATTATGTTTGGATCAAAGACAAATCATGAAGATATTTGTGTTATTGATAGTGGAACAACTCATGCCATATTCAAGGATCAGAAATACTTTTCTTATTTGCATAAGAAAAAAGCAAATGTTTCAACAATTTCTGGTAATATAAGTTTGATTGAAGGCTCCGGAAGAGCCATTATATTTCTTTTTAAGGGAACAAAACTTATTATAGACAATGCATTATTCTCCTCTAAGTCCCGAAGAAACTTGTTGAGTTTTGTAGATATCCGCCGAAATAGGTATCATGTTGAGACAATAGATGTAATGAACATGGAATATCTTTGTATTACAAAGAATATTTCTGGTCAGAAATGCATTGTAGAAAAGTTAGCAACTTTATCTTCCGGCTTATACTATTAAAAAATTAGTACAGTTGAAGAGCGCTCTATCGTAAACCAGATGTTTACGGATTCAAATACTTTTGTGCTTTGGCATGGCCGTTTGGGCCATCCTTGATCAATAATGATGAGACGAATTACTGAAAATTCGAGTGGGCATCCATTAAAGAACCTGAAGATTCTTACAAATGACGAATTTTCTTGTGATGTTTGTTATCAAGGCAAAATGATCACTAGACCATCACCAATGAAGGTTGGCATTGAATCCCCTGCCTTTTTAGAGTGTATACATGGGGATATATGTGGACCTATTCACCCACCAAGTGGGTTGTTTAGATATTTTATGGTCCTAATAGATGCATCTTCAAGATGGTCTCATGTGTGCCTACTATCATCTCGCAACCTGGCGTTTCCAAAGCTATTAGCCCAAATAATTCGATTAAGGGCACAATTCCCAGATTATCCTATAAAGGCTATTCGCCTTGATAATGATGGAGAATTCTCATCTCACGCTTTTGATGATTATTGTCTATCAGTTGGGATAAACGTTGAACATCCTTTAGCTTATGTTCATACTCAAAATGACCTTGTAGAGTCATTTATTAAACGCCTGTAATTGATAGCAAGACCACTACTTATGAAAACAAAATTGCCCACTACTGTTTGGGGCCATGCTATCTTGTATGCAGCATCACTTATCCGTCTCAGACCGACACATTATAATAAATATTCTCCGTCACAATTAGTTTTTGGTCATGAACCAAATATTGCCCATCTACGAATTTTTGAATGTGCTGTATATGTGCCAGTAGTACCACCACAGCGTAGTAAGATGGGACCACAGAGAAAGATAGGAATATATGTTGGGTTTGAATCACCCTCTATTATTCTCTATCTTGAACAATTGACAGGAGATTTATTTACTGCTCGATTTGTAGATTGTCGATTTGATAAAACAATTTTCCCACAATTAGGGGGAGAGAAAAAGGAAATAAAAAGATAAATTGTGTGGAAAGTTTCATCATTATCTCACTTTGATCCACGTACCCCTATATGTAATCAGGAGGTCCAGAAGATCATCCATTTACAGAATATAGCAAATCAAATGCCAGACGCATTTACTAATTTGAAAAGGATAACTAAGTCACATATCCCTGCAGAGAATGTTCTTGTCCGAATTGATGTCCCAGTAGGACCATCTACTAGCATGAGAGCTAGTGAACCAAAAGCACGCCTAAGCATGGTAGGCCTTTGGGTTCTAAGGATCGAAATCCTCGAAAAAGAAAATCGACAAATGATCAAAACGATACTATGAAGGGATTTCCTGAAGAGACTTAAGATCTGATTAGTTCTGAGATTCCTGAATAAATCAATGAACCTGAAGCTCAAGTGAGTAAGGAACTTATAATAAGTTCTACCAGTGATGGGATTAATTTAAATCGATTTGAAATAGTGCTGGATAATATTGCACTTAATATTATGCAAGATAGTGAGAATCGTGAACCCCGATCTGTCGAAGAATGTCAACAAAGATCTGATTGGCCAAAATGGCAAGAGGCAATTCAATCGGAATTGAAGTCACTTGCTAAAAGAGAGGTCTTTGGACCAGTAGTCCAAACACCTGCTGGTATAAAGCCAGTTGGTCATAAGTGGGTTTTTGTGTGAAAAAGGAATGATAAAAATGAAGTTAAAAGATACAAGGCTCGCCTTGTCGCACAAGGATTCTCACAACGACCTGGAGTCGATTATAAAGAAACATATTCACCTGTCATGGATGCCATAACATTTCGATATCACATCAGTTTAGCCTTACGTGAAAGGCTTGAAATACATCTAATGGATGTGGTTACAGCTTATCTATACGGATCACTTGATAATGAAATTTACATAAAAATCCCTAAAGGATTTAAAATGCCTGAAGCATATCCAAAATCTCGGGAAATGTACTCAATCATATTAAAAAGATCTTTGTATGGTTTAAAGCAATCTGGGCGCATGTGGTATAATCGCCTCATTGAATATTTGCTGAAAGAATGTCATATAAATGATGTTATTTGTCCATGTATTTTTATAAAGAAAATGGCTTCAGAATTTGTTATACTTGCTGTTTATGTTGATGACATAAAATCATGTTGGAACTCCAGAAGGCAATTGAATATCTTAAGAAAGAATTTGAGATGAAAGATCTTGGAAAGACAAAACTTTGTCTTGGTCTGCAAATTGAACATTTAGCAGACGGGATCTTTACCCATCAATCTGCCTATACAGAAAGGGTCTTAAAACGCTTTTACATGGACAAAGCGCACCCATTGAGTACACCAATGGTTGTTCGATCACTTGAAGTGAGTAAGGATTTGTTTCGACCTCCAGAAGAGGATGAGGAACTCCTTGGTCCCAAAATACCCTATCTCAGTGCAATTGGTGCACTAATGTATCTTGCTAATGCTACAAGGCCTGACATAACATTTTCTGTTAATTTACTAGCAAGATATAGTTCTTCTCCTACACGAAGCATTGGAACAGGATTAAGCATATATTGCGATATTTAAAGGGAACTCTTGATATGGGTTTGTTTTATGCTAACAAAGATAGTACAGATCTTGTTGGTTATGCAGATGCAGGTTATTTATCTGATCCCCATAAAGCTCGATCTCAAATCGGGTACATATTTACATATGGAGGTACTGTCATATCATGGCGCTCCACAAAGCAATCTATTGTTTCTACTTCTTCAAATCATGCTGAGATAATAGTTATTCATGAAGCAAGTAGGGAATGTGTATGGTTGAGATCAATAATTCATTTTATTCGAGAAAGATGTGGTTTGGAATGTGAGAAAAGACCCACAATTTTATACGAAGACAATGCTGCATGCATAGCTCAATTGAAGGGGGGATTTGTAAAAGGAGATAGAACAAAGTATATTTCACCAAAATTATTCTACAACACGATCTTCAGAAAAATGGTGACATTGATGTGCACCAAATCCGTTCAAGTGACAATTCGGCAGATTTATTCACCAAATCTTTGCCAACTTCAACTTTTGAGAAGATGGTATACAAGATTGGAATGCAGAGACTCAAATATTTGAAACAAGGTTTTCATCAGGGGGAGTAAAATACGGGATGCACTCGTTTTTCCTTACTAAGGGTTTTTTCCACAGGGGTTTTTCTTATAAGGTTTTTAATGAGGCACCTAGCAATGCGTATTACTAAATATATGTACTCTTTTTCCTGCACTAGAATTTTTACCCACAGGAATTTTCCTAGTAAGGTTTTAATGAGGCACATTATCTTTTAATGAACATCCAAGGGGGAGTGTTATAAATATATTATATTATGAATGTTCATTTAGTACTCCGTTGTAAATAAGCTTCCTGAAGAAGCTTATCCATATGAGACTCCGCCGTAAATGTGTTTATCTATTTAGTACTCTATTCGAAATAAGCCTCCTGAAGAAGCTTATCACTTCGGTACTCGGTTATGGATAAACATTACCCACGGTAGAAGATTATCCATACCGGGTACAATAAGCCTATCCTTTCGATACTCCGTTATGGATAAACATTACTTCCGGTAGAAGATTATCCATACCGGGTACAATAAGCTTATCCTTTCGATACTCCGTTATGGATAAACATTACCCACGGTAGAAGATTATCCATATCGGGTACAATAAGCTTATCCTTTCGACACTCCGTTATGGATAAATATTACTTCCGGTAGAAGATTATCCATACCGGGTACAATAAGCTTATCCTTTCGATACTCCGTTGATAAACATTACCTTGGTTGAAGAATATCCATACCGAGTACAATAAGCTTATCCTTTCGATACTCCGTTATGGATAAATATTAACCCCGGTAGAAGATTATCCATACCTGGTACAATAAGCTTATCCTTTCGATACTCCGTTATGGATAAACATTACCCCAGTTGAAGATTATCTATATATGGTACAGTAACAACTTACACAGCAGCTTGCAGTAGCAACTTACACAGCAACTTGCTTTCTTCTATAAATAAAGCATATTTCAATTTATTATGTATATAAGTTTGAAGTTGAATAATAGATGAGTTTCTCTCTATACTTGTCTTTAATTTATTTACTTTATAGTCGTTATTTTATAACACCTTTCATGTTGTTTGATGTCATTTTTTAATCTTTTATTTATATGACCAGAACAAACAAATTTCCAGACCCTTGAATATTTATTGGACAAATGGATCTACTGGACCGTTTATCACTGGAGCAGAGCCGCTCCCGATAATTTGGGTATGGAAATAGTAAAGGGTTTATGACAAAATCCAAAAAGAGCGGGACAAAGCATAACAGTAACAACCTCTCCGGTTGTAACTTGTAAGTGTCTGAACGCTAAGACGACGTCGTTCATGTGGACTGTGAATTGAAATCGTAGACAAATCAATCAGAAGAAGAAGAAAGACAAGCAAAAAAAGAATGGTGCACAGCGCCTACGATTCCTTCGAACTCCTCAATAATTGTCCCACAAAAATCGATGCCATCGAATCATACGGCTCAAATTTACTCATCGCCTGTTCCGATGGATCGCTCCGCGTTTACAGTCCGGAATCCGCCGTTTCCGATCAATCTCCGCCGTCCGATTTCCACTCCCAAACCTTAGGGCTTCATCAAGAGCGGTACGTGCTTGAAAGAAGTGTGAATGGATTCTCCAGAAGACAAATGCTGGCTATGGAAGTTCTCGTGTCGCGAGAACTTCTGCTTTCTCTCTCGGAGTCCATAGCGTTCCATCGGTTGCCCAATTTGGAGACTTTGGCTGTGATAACTAAGGCTAAAGGTGCAAATGTATACTCATGGGATGATAAAAGAGGGTTTCTTTGCTTCGGCAGGCAAAAGAGAGTTTGTATTTTCAGACATGACGGTAATGACTTGAATTGAAGCTTAATTGCGATATTTGTCAATTGAATATTTTACATTGTTGTCATGGTAATGCATTTTCTGGTGATTCTAGATGAGTGAATGGCGTACTTCTTCAGTGTCTGCTAGATGTGAAATGAAGTGCTTTTTCCTTTGGCTGATCATTTGATGATGTTACAAACATAATATGGAATTAAAGATAATGGTTAAATGTATTAAAAGGATGCACTTGATTATTTTTTTGCCTCCAGTAAGTGGAGACATACCCCTTAAACCGTAGATAACCTTTTGCGCCTCTTCCGAGTGTTTTTTAGGGTCCGAATTAGCTGCTTTCCTTGTTCTTGCTACTAAAGAAATCTACTGTATTTTTCTGTCCCGTTGTATATGACAATATTTAATTGGACATAGAGATATTAACTTGATTTATATGTTATAATAATGAAAGTAGAAAAAAATTATTATAAGGGTTGACATGATAGTTCCTTTTCCAAAAAAAAAAAAAGGGTTAACATGATAGTTTGATATAGAAAACATCAGATAACATTGAAAAAGTTAAATGGTTTAATAATTTGAATGTTTAAAAGTTGTACAGAAATGGAATGGTACAAACATTTTTTGACGTCCAAATATAGGAGTATTACATAAGTTCTTTACTACTTTTAGTTTAACACAAATTCATCAATGCCTGTAATTTCTTTCTCCTTGCAGTTGGTGACTTTCAGGTTACTTGATCAAAGCAGTTTGGATATTGATGACTAGTCTTTTTCTCATGCTTTAAGAGTTCTGATACTTTAATGTGATTCTTATCTGAATCTTCTATAGGGGGAAGGGGATTTGTGGAGGTGAAAGAATTCGGAGTCCCTGACACAGTCAAGTCGATGTCATGGTGTGGTGAGAATATTTGCTTGGGGATTAGAAGAGAGTACATGATATTGAATACCACCAATGGTGCATTGTCTGAGGTGTTTCCTTCAGGGAGGATCGCCCCACCTCTTGTGGTGTCTCTTCCCTCAGGAGAACTTCTTTTGGGAAAGGTAATGTTGTCACTGTCATTATTACATTGAGTTGATTGGCCTTATAGTTCTCTGTCACACTCATGCACACAATACTATGATCCGATGGGCCAAGGTGGGCCATCGAGTGTTGTTACTATCAAATTCTTCTTACCAGAGCCTCAATGAATCCATGGAGCAGGGAAAATCTGCTTTTACTTCTTATACTAATTCATTAGTATGATGTACTCTCCATCCTTATTCCCTGGATAGAGCTGTTACTATAATCTATAGTGTACTCTATGACTTAGTTGATGAAGCCTTTGTGGATCATCTCGTACTTTTCTCGAGTCAAGTCCTGATCTTTGAAAACTATGTGTATTCTTATATGATATTAAGTGTTGTTTCAGGATAATATTGGTGTCTTAGTTGACCAAAATGGCAAGTTGATTCAAGAGGGGAGGGTTTGTTGGTCTGAGGCTCCTGCAGCTGTTGTTATTCAGAATCCCTATGCAATAGGTCTCTTACCACGGCATGTTGAGGTAGCTTGAGTGTTTAGCTTGTTAAGCTGCTCTTTTTGTTCTTCAATAAGCGAATAACCTTAGGTATTAATAATCTGGAAAGATAATGCCGTTTGATCTTTTGGAATATTGCAGATACGTTCTCTTCGTGTTCCTTATCCTTTAATTCAAACAGTTGTCCTTCGGAATGTTCGCCGTGTTGTTCGAAGCAACAATGCTGTTATTGTTGCTCTTGATTATTCTGTTTATGGCTTTTTTCCTGTTCCTCTGGGTGCACAGGTAATTATCACTCTGAAAGGTTTAGTTTAATATCATGTTGAAGTTATCTTGTTTATGCTTTGAATCCAGTATTGGAACTCTAGCACATTCATGTCTCCTTGTAACCGAACATTTCATTTTGGAGCGACTGAGGTTTGTCATTAAACTGAGATGAGAATGCCTTAGGCACTCAAATTGATGCCTAAGTCTTGCAAAATAAATCAATATTGCAAGTTGTACCTGATCTTGATTAATGTTGTTTACGAGACCCGCATGAGCCACAATAATATTTTTTAAACTTTTACTTATAAAAAATGATGAGGTTTAGCTTACAGTTTTATGAAAAAAAATCGCAAAAATATATTTTGACTCAGAATATTGTCCAATTTAGATAAAAGAGAAAAATGCTGCATATTGTCCAAATACTAATGCTCCCCATCCCTTTATATTATATATTTTGACTTGGAGTATTAACTACGAAGTTTGTTTGACTCGTATATAACATTCATGTGGTCGAAGAAAAGATCAAATTAAATGTTGCAGTTCGTTTGCACAGCTGATTTAATTGAAAAAACATCAGAATGTGATTTAATTTAGTTTCCAATGTTAAATTTGGGAAGTCCCCCGAAGTGAAACTCTGTAATATGTATACCTCAGAGATGGGGCTTTAATTATTACCATTGTATTTTATCTTCATGATTTACCATCACTGAAGTGCCCCAAGTCAATTATTATTAGTATTTTGCTGAGGGGATGGAGATTGGAGGATGTTAGTGTGAGAAACAGTATGGATGTTGGAAAAAACTGTGAGAGTGATTCCACTGGGTCCAGGGTATTTCTTGGTCATAGAGAAAACTGCTTCTTATTTCAGAGAATTGCGAGTGTGATTCCAACTTGTCTCTATAATGCAGATTGTACAACTAACAGCATCTGGAAACTTTGAGGAAGCCTTGGCTCTGTGCAAATTGCTACCACCAGAAGATTCAAGTCTTAGAACTGCAAAGGAGCAATCGATTCATATAAGGTCATTCCCCCGACCCTGCGTTTAAGGAAATTTTGAGCTAGGTCAATGGCAATAGTATCTCATCTAGATCATTTTCAGAACCTTCTTGGTGTTTATATTAATGAAAGTCTTACTTAATCTGAACCAATAAAAAGTATCCCATTTAGGTCATGGTCACACTAACCCCGTGCGCGCGCCAGTACGTTTAACCAATTTTTATGTTAACATTGCAGTTCAATAGTGATAGTTTCTTGTTAAGTCGTAGTTAATTAAATTGAATATTTTCTTATATGATGTGATAGCGCATACATGTTTACATTTAGCACAAGTTACAAATAAATAAGCTCTAGTGAGGGAAGCTGAATGTCTAAACTGAAAGTTTAGACAAAACATCTTTAGAAAGTTCTACGAGAATCAATGAGGCCAAAATTTTCAAAGGCTAGCAGATGTTAACCATCTGTTATTCCATTGTGCTGTGGCTATTGGTTATCATGTGTAGCATGGAACATGTTTGGTGTTGATCGTGTGATGCTTGGTTGTGTTAAAGACATACTGTTTAGGTGGAAGTTCAGGAAAAAGAGGTAGAGAAGTAGAGCATGGAAATCACTTTTGGAGCTTATGTGGACCATATTGGAAGAAACAAAGGAGCATTTGAGGGAGTTAAGTCTTTTGTACTAAATAGTGGAATTTTTTCGGACACATTTTTGGTGCATTAATGGTATTCCACTTAGTATTAGTGATTGGGTGCTTTTAGTAGAAAGTCACGTTTCATATGAAGACTGACTTCTGCACTTCCCTCTTCATTCAATAAATTATTTATTTTTGATAAAGGAAATATTAATTAGTTTATCACAATGAGATCACTGGTGCCTGAATAAAGAGAATTTTGGTTGCCATAGTGTCTGAAACACTTGTGCTTGGGAAGCTTAGTTAACCTTTACTTGGTTCTGGTGTATTGGCACTGTATGTGTAAGAGTTTTGATATATGACTATAGTTGGTTTATTTCGCCTCTGTCTCAAGTTGTTTACTTGTTGCATTCTCACCAACTTTGAGATTTTGCTTATCTTATCTTCCCTGGAAGATCAGTTTATACTTTTTGTCTTGGACTTCTTAATGGGTGTGATAATGTGGGATCTAGCAAGATGTGTCGCATTTTTTGATAAAGCTTAGGCTATATAGAAGCTATAATGGAAACTAATCCTTATTTTAATAACAATTCACATTTTTTCCATTGCACAGGAATAATGCATAGATAATATTACTATAAACTTATGTGAGATGTTATGTTCGCTAGAAAGTTTTACTTCATCTGGTGTAGCACACATGAGTAGGAAGCACTGACAGCATACTGGCTTGACCAGGAAACTATCCTGACTCTATTTTCTAGCAAGTTCTCCCTTTTTTTCCAGTAAAAGTTGAAATATAAACAACACTCAAGGGTCTAGCCTATTGGTCAATGAAATGGAAAAAGCCCTTGGAGACCAAAAGTTCAAATTCCAACAGAGAAGAAAAAAATATTAGGTGATCTTTGATGAAAAAAAAAACATCATGTGATTTCTTCTCATCTAGTTAAACCTTGGTGGTGATTTCGTCTCATCTAGTTAAACCTTGGTGGGCAGAGTTACTTGATATTTGTGCCTGTAGGAGGTAGAAGGTAACTTAGATTAGTCAAAGTGCACAGCAGTTGGCACGGTACCTCCGTTTTGAAAAAAGAAATTGAAATATGAACATTGATCGGCAAGAAGTTTCTTAAAAAACTTGTATCTTATTAACACCTTAACCTTATCAAAAAAAAAGTTGCATCTTATCTCTTTTCTTTCTTTTCATTTTTTGTAGATTCATAAGTTATTTCTTTGGAAAAAAAAAGGGAAAGAAAAAGAAAGTGCCGAAACTAATTACTTGAAGAATGATAACAATTTTTTGATACAGATATGCGCACTTTCTATTTGAAAATGGGAGCTATGAAGAGGCAATGGAACATTTTCTGGCATCTCAAGTAGAAATCACTTATGTGCTCGCCTTATATCCATCAATTATTGTTCCCAAATCATCTTTCATACCTGAACCACAGAAATTTCTTGATGTCGCGGATGCACCATATCTCTCCCGAGGTTCCTCTGGTCTATCAGATGATCTGGACTCGACGCCTTCGAATGTCTTAGAATCTGATGAAATGGATATAGAATCCAAGAAAATGAGTCATAACACTTTGATGGGTCTGATTAAGTATTTGCAGAAGAAGAGATATAGTGTCATTGAGAAAGCCACAGCTGAGGGAACTGAGGAGGTGGTTTCAGATGCTGTAGGAGATAATTTCATTTCCTATGGAACTAGCCGGTCCAAGAAACCAGCCAAGGTAACTTTTCTTCTATCTTATGCCTTCTATCTACGGTGTTTTGGAGAAATTATTTTTAAGGTCCCAATCAAAAGGCAAAGTTTTGACATTAAGCAGATCTCTTCTTGGTAAATGTGACTAGCAGTGTATTTCAGTACTTTTGAGCAAAGCTTTCTAGAAATTCCAAAGACTCCACAGGGGAATTGTATCCAGGTGGTTATCTTGTTTAACAAGCAGCCCAAATTATATTGAGCTGTTTAACATAGACCTTTTTTTGCATCCAAGTGTAAGTACCTTTCTGGTTATTTTTGTGTTTGATGTATTTAAATACTGAAAACCATATCAGAAAGAAAAGCTTAAGTTGGTCCAGAATACTCTGATTGATTATTCAAGCTATAGATCATTTATATCATTCCGAAAAATACTGTTTCCTTTGTATCTTCCAAAATTCTAAATGTCAGGGAGGTAAGTTCTGATTCTGCTATTTGCAAAAGTACTGGCTTATTTATAGTTGAGGTCTACTGAATGGAGAAACCACTTAAAAGGTAGCTGTATTACTTGTTACCTAATTTACATCTAAAAATGTAGTTTCCTTGATCCATTTAGGGAAGAACCCATGCTCCAATCACTTCCGTCGCTAGGGATATGGCTGCAATTCTGGACACTGCACTCCTTCAAGCTCTACTTTTAACTGGACAGTCCTCAGCTGCTACAGATTTTCTGAAAGCCCTCAACTATTGTGATGTGAAAATATGCCAGGAGTTTCTGCAGAAAAGAATCCAGTATGCTTGTCTGCTAGAACTTTATAGAAGCAACTCAATGCATCGTGAAGCACTGAAACTTCTCCATCAATTGGTAGAAGAGTGCAAGTCAGAGCAAATTCCTGTAGAGCTTTCAACGAAATTCAAGCCTGATATGATCATTGAATATCTCAAAGTATGCATCTTTATCTACTTTTATTTCTTTCCTTTTGGGTTTTAACTACTTGAGAGGTGGAAGCTCGTAAAGTGTTTGGATCAGCTATGTTGAAGTTTGGCTGCAAGGAATTTTATGGAACAAACCTTCGTCAATGCAGTTATTATGTCAATTCAGAATATACACCTGATTATAGTCTTTCTGTTTTGGCAGCCCCTTTGTGCAACAGACCCCATGCTTGTCCTGGAGTTCTCACTGCCTGTTCTTGAAAGCTGTCCTATGCAAACCATTGAGCTATTCTTGTCTGGTAACATTCCAGCAGACTTGGTGAACTCTTACTTAAAACAGCATGCTCCAAACATGCAGGCGACATATCTGGAACTCATGCTTGCCATGAATGAAAATAGCATCTCCAGGAATCTGCAGAATGAAATGGTAGGGCACTTGTTCATCAGTCTGGTTTTTCTGTAGCTTCTCTCTTTCTTTCCCCTGTGTACTTTCTATTGCACAAAATCTATGAAAGCAACATTGCTTCAAGTGAAGCAAGAAGGCTGGAGGTTCTTGATATGGCGAAAAGAAGCTCATATTTTCTAGGATCCTTTCAACTCAAAGCTGGGTTGAGAAAATTGGGAACAATTCTCTTGACTCTAGAACTGTTTATCAGTGGATAAACTTGTGCTTCAATTCCATCCTTCTGACGTAAATGTTGAGAGTGTCCGTGAGTATGATAAATACACTTAGTAACTTGTGGCAGGTGCAAATTTATCTCTCGGAAGTGCTTGATTTGTATGCTGAACTAAATACCCAGCAAAAGTGGGATGAGAAAACATATTCTCCGACAAGGAAAAAGCTATTGTCTGCTTTGGAGAGTATCTCTGGATATAACCCAGAGGTGCTGCTGAAGAGACTTCCACCAGATGCTTTGTATGAAGAACGTGCAGTTCTGTTGGGGAAAATGAATCAACATGAACTTGCTCTGTCTATTTATGTGCACAAGGTATTTTTTTCCACCTCAACTGCACATGACATTCTTTTTGGTGTCTTTTATCTAATGCATTGGTGCTTTCGAGGGGACTTAAGATGTCACGAAATCTAAACTGTACAATTTCTTCTTCATAAGTGCTACTACAGGCTTGTATTATGAACTTGACATTTGCTGTTAGATCTATTGACTAATCTAGCAGTCAATCCCAGTAGTGCGATCATTTCACTCTTCTTTTATTTGGTGTACCTGTTGGTCAGAAATGTTAACCTTCTCATGGTTTTATTACATCATTGGATTTCTATTTACCCTTTCTTTCTCTCTATGTTATTGGGCTAGTATAATTTCCCAAGTAGGGGCATTGGATATGTCATTTTTTTTTATTGAGCATACATGTCTAATTCTATGAATTTTGATGGCAGGTATTGAAGTCTTTTCAGTTGTCTCTTTGTGTTGTATTTACCTTGAATTGTGGGTGTTCTTTCATACTAAAGTGAATTGCTCTGTTTGATTGATAGCTTCACGTTCCTGAACTTGCACTGTCCTATTGTGATCGGGTGTATGATTCAGGACTTCAACAACATTCAGCAAAATCATATGGAAACATTTACCTGACTCTACTGCAAATCTATCTAAATCCTACGAAGACAACAAAAAATTTTGAGACAAAAATTACTAATCTGGTATCATCTCAGAGCCCTGGGATTCCAAAAGTTGGTTCAGGAACTACAGCAAAGATAAAAGGAGGCCGCTCCAAGAAAATTGCTGAAATTGAGGGTGCCGAGGACATTCGATTCAGTCCAAGTGGCACTGACAGTGGTAGGAGTGATGGAGATATGGAAGATGTTGCTGAGGAAGGAGATTCTACCATTATGCTAGATCAAGTTCTTGATCTTTTGAGCAGAAGGTGGGATCGGATCCATGGGGCCCAAGCTCTGAAACTACTGCCAAGGGATACGAAGCTACAGGTAGAAAACCATATCAGTGTGATGGTATAATGAACTAGATGAAGAAGTTTGTTGCTGTTCTAAATTTTAATCAAATTTGGCTGAAGAAAACAAGCATTGTTTTTTGCTTGCAGAAGCGATTCTCTCAGAAAAGAAACTAGAGACAGTGTCCGCTATATCATCATGCCACATCCCCCATCCCCCTTCCCTGGCCAAAAACCAAAAAAAAAAAATGTCTCACTAGAACACCAGCTAAGATATCTGTTCAAGAGTGGTAGTCCTATCTGCATCTGAGCACTAATCATGTTAACACCTCCCAAACTCCTAAGGCATTGTTTTTAGATTGGACACTGTCGTTAAACTGTATATTAGATACTTCCAACCATATTACCTTGAAATATTTACTTTGAGATAATACACATACACATTAAGAAAGCTGCAAGGTGAAGTTTGTTTCGATTTGTCTTTCAAATGGTCAAGTATATCGAATTGTGTGTTTGAAACAACTATGCCAAGTAAATTGCTATCGAATGCTAATCCGCATGCACTGTTCTATATCATGTCAGCATCTTGTTGATTCTCTTGGGACAAAGAATTGGTTTAGTTTTTCTTTATGCTCTCTCCCAGCATCAAGTTATAATGAGAAGATTACGTAGTAGAGCCTTTAGGATTTTCTAGAAGTTCGACATATACGCATTGTAGGAATAGTACATGCAACATTGTTTATTTGTTTTGAGTAAACTTCCTCTCATGCCCAGACATGTTAAAATTGCAACTGGAGAATCATTCACTCTAGTCTCTAGCTTTGCCCTGTGCATGAGCAAGAATGTTTCGCATCTTGCTGTTGTACTGTTGTATTGAGTCATTTTGGCATCATGCAGAATTTGCTTCCATTTCTTGGACCTCTTCTGAGGAAATCCAGTGAAGCGTATCGGAACTTTTCGGTGATTAAAAGCTTGAGAGAAAGTGAAAACCTACAGGTAAATTTTATATGTGGTTATACCAATCAATTACACACACATTTTCTTTACTGGTATGTGAATCATCTTCTTCTTTCCATCTATTTTTTCTGTATTACGGTAACCTCCAATTATCATCTTTGCAATTCAGTTGTTTGAGTTTATGTTAGCAAATGCAAATTTAAAAATTAATCATGGGAATATTTTAATTTCTACGACTAGATTGTTTACTAAAGCTGTGGTTTAGTGTTTGTTGTCTCTCATTATAAAGCTGTGTGTACGAAACAGGTCAAAGATGAGCTGTATAACCAAAGAAAAGCAGTCTTGAAGATCACAAGTGATAGCTTGTGTTCTCTTTGCAACAAGAAGATCGGGACCAGTGTCTTTGCAGTCTATCCTAATGGTAAGACAATTGTGCACTTTGTTTGCTTTAGAGATTCACAGAATATGAAGGCAGTTGGAAGAGGCTCTCAGTTGAGGAAAAGATGATAATGAGAAGTTGGATTTGGATTAACTGAGTTTTTGGGTTTGCTATATGTGTGGCATTGATTGCAGTTGTTCTTGTTAGTACCGTTTAACATGTTCTGCGGCTTAAAGTTTTAATTCGCCCTTATTCCTAAAAGTAAACTTCTGCTCTCGTGTTTCTGGAAGTGTTCTGGTGTGTTTGCATGATTATTGACTGTATACCAAGAGATATGAAACGAGCTGGTGGTACACACGTGCAAGCAATAATGACAGTGCTTCTTGCAAAGGAATGTGTAATACAGATGTTGTATATTATGTCAAACGTTGAAGTAAAATCTGAGGTTGTGTAATGTGAGTCTGTATTGAAAAATATTGAAGCTAGTATTGGAGGTGTTTATAACTTATTTATGAAGAGTGTCTTTGAATGCAGTGTTTGTACCAACTCAGATTGTGAATGTTCAATTAATATGCAATGATACACAATTTTCTTTGTTGTTCGTATTTCCATGTAAAAGCAAAGAGCGTTTTACTTCTTTGTTGGGTAAACCCCACTGTTAAACATGACAATAAGGTTAATACTAACATCATGCGTTGGTTGACGACAGTGGCTCTTTTTGAGGCTATCTTTTCCCCGTGAAAAGGTACACAACCACCCCAATCCTAGACCCATTGGATGGAGGCTCTGTATGTATGATTTGGACATCAAAAAGCTTCTTAGCTCTCTTGAAGAATACAGATTCCTTCTTCCATCTTCTCAAATGAGCCATCACAAAAGCTATCTTCTTTTCACCCCCTAACAGGAAGAACTTCAGCGTTTTAATCAGAGGATCATAGAGGTGATCATGGTACACCACATCAGATCCCAAAATCAGGTCATAATCTCTACCAACAGCCTCCATATCCTGGCTCTCCCCCCAGCTAAGCGCCGCAACATCAACAACCCCACTCTGCTGTTCCAGAACCTTAGAGTTCACATCAACATTGAACTGTATATTAGGCAGAACATGAGGGAGGTCAGTAACAGTTATCTTAGCACCAAGAATTGCAGCAGCAGCTATCCCTACAACACCTGTTCCTGAACCCAGTTCAAGAATGCGAAGGGGTGAATCCTCTTCTTCTTGACGTTTGAACAAGTCGGAAAGCGGAGTTGATGCGCCACGGATGTTGTCAAGGAGAGTGATGAGAATGGTGGCGGCAGGCCAGAGTTGGAAGGAAAGACCTTGAGATGGGAGTTGCCTAATGACTATGTTGGAGTTAATGGATTGGAGAAAATAGACTTGTTGCTGCTGCTGCTGAGGTGTATGATTCGCGTCTTTGTCTTGACCATCTTGTAGAAGCATCATACTGAAAGGATTGAGGTTGTCTTTGTCTATGGCTGTGTCAATGTCTCCTTCGATTTCGGCAATTGGAGTAGTCATGTGACAGGCGGCGCTCCCGGGGTTGTTGAAGGATTTATCCTAGCCAATCACAGTTGCGGAGGTCTTGCCCTAAACGGGTATTGTTAGAATCAAAGCCTTTTTATAGATGGTAAATGATATAACCGAAAATATAATATAAAATGGTCAAGTTGCCAAAAATAGCTTGACGGACGGTAATGAATTAAAAAAAGAAAACAAAATCGCACCGAGTGCTGCATGTCGCCGCAGGTGCAGGCGACTTCACAACCTGTTGATTGTTCTATCTTAGTGTCACAGGCGCGTTTTCAGTCTGCCGAAAATCAGACTGCGCGGCAACCAAGTTCCGCACTTGACTTCAACCTTTACAACACTTATCCAAAATTATAGCAACTTTGGACTAAGATTATTTTGGACAGCTTCAACGTAGTAACTATTAGGACTGATTTTAGGCAACGAAAATAAGTAAAGGCAACAGAAACTTAGAGGAACACAAGGCACAATATCCTAACTTTGTATTTAACTCGAGCATACAAAGAAACTCAACTCAAAGTACAACCGTGTACAAAAGAAGATCACTCTTGACCCTCAGATTTTTCTCACAAAGACTGTGAGCACGTGATTTTTGCCCTATATGAATTACTCCCATAATTTCAAAATAAAATAATTTCTTTCAGTGTTTGTAATTGTGTGGATTTTTGTGGCATTTTCTGTTAATTGTTTGCATTTTTGTCTGTGCATTTTAATTGGTGAAAATACGAAAAAATATGTTGCAGTTGCATTTAGGGTTTGACTTTGCATTTTTAAGAATTAATTAGTAAGTATTTATTTTACAAAGAGGGAAAATCACACAAAAAGTAATTTATTTTCACACTTTAATTTTAGTTTGGAATTTTGGTATTCTTTTTTTTATTTGGTTTTAATTAGGTGTAATAAGTGTTAGATATAGTAATTAACTTAACTTGATGGGATAATTTGATTAGGGATTAATTTAGATTTTTTTTAATTTTATTTCAATTTAAAAAGAATTTAAAAGAAATTAGAAAAATAAAAAAATAAAAAAATAAAAAAGAAGAAGGGAAAGAATTAATGAAGAGATGGTCTGTTTGGGCCAAATTAATTGGTTCTATTTCAGGCCCAAAGTTTTGCTCCCCATACCCGGTCCAGCCCCCTTCCCCTCTAAACGACACAGTTTTGCCCATTTTAACCCCAACCGTTGGATCTCATCAATCCAACGGCTCTGAACTAAGGAGTACTAAATATATATATGTCCTAATTCATTACCCCCCTACCCCAGTCTTCTCCTTCAACCTTTGAAAGCCCCGCCGAGCTCCACCCTAAGCCACCGTCCGCCGCCCGCCAGAAATCGCCCACGGCGGCGGCCGGCGGCCAAACCTACCCAAATTAACACCATAGAACCCCCTCAACCTCCCCTTCCTCGATCCCTGATTAGTTTTCCTCGAATCTGCCTAGAACTCTTCGAATCCTAAATCTAAAAGCGGAACCCTAAAATCTCCAAAGTACAAATCAGCCGGTGGAAGAAAATTTGAGTTCGAATTGGACTTTAGTCGTGTGTTTTCATCGAGAACGCACGATTAAAGTTTATTTCGATCCAAAATCGGATTCCAGAGGTTGTTCAAGGATTTCTTGTTCGTTTGGTTCAGACAGATATGGTCAGTATTTCCTTCTCTTCATTTTCGCTTTCTTATCCTCTTCTATTTTTGTTTTTTCTTCTTCTCCTTTGTTCCCTCGAAGTCGTTTCTGCATGTGTTTTTTTAATCCAAGTTCATCTTTAATTGTTTCCTCTTCTAGTTTGTTTGAGTTCGTTAGTTTAGTTTACTTGATTTTATTTTAGTCCTGGGCCACATATGGCAATTGATTCGTAAATTTGTTTGAGCCCAAATGGTTGGCCTGTTTTGTTACTATTTTTGATTTCTTAATTGAAATTGAACCCGGAAAAGGGGATTAGTCCAGATAGGGGATTTAATTTGGGTTTGTAGACCCATTAGCCAGGTCAATTTGACCCAAGATGGTTTTTAAGGTAAATTCAGGGATAACTAGGATTAATTTGGGTAGTCTAGATTAGGAAATCTTTGATAATAGAAATAGGAAGCTTCTAGTAGGGGTCTGTAATTGAATTTCAGACTTTAGCTTGGGTAACAAGTCAGTAAATGAGGGATGAAGTAGCAAAAATAGGAATTAGAAATGGACTAAAATTGAAATAAAAAATCTGATATGTTGCCCTAGTCCTTTGCCTATAAAGGCAACCCAAACTTGCTTTGCAAGGGAGAAAAAATAGACCCAAGAGATTTGAAGAGATAAAAAATTCCAGAAAAATAGAGAAAAATTCTGAAAAAATATAAATGGCTGCAAAATTACTGTTTCATTGAGTTACCTTGGTGATTTCTTAGATTTCCAACTCCTGAATTGAATTCTGACTTATCTGAGGGCTGAAATGGCTTGTTTGAGAGAGCTAAGAGATAAAAAACACTGAAAAAAAACTGAAATGGCTAGGGGGTTTTCTTTGGAAAGAATTCTGAATTCCTTGCATTATTTGTTTGGGAAACTGCTCCAACCCTGCTGATTTTTAGTCTTCCTTTTTCGATTGGTGAGCAAAACTTTTAAAAATCACAAATTCTCATTCTGGAGTTGAAATGGACTGAGCTTGGGTTTTGAAAAGGTTTTGGTTTAAGTTTTGCTGTTTGGTTTACTGTTCCATTGCTGGTCGAAGCTGATTCCTATTGATGCTGTCTCGGTAAATTACATTGTCTAATCGAGTTCTAGTTTGTATTAGTAAGTTTTATTACTGTATCTAAGTTTGGATTGTCAGGAAAACTTGGAAAACAGCTTGTTGGGTTGAATTAGTAGTTTAGGCTCTGTATTCCATCATTTAAATCCTGGACTGCACTAGACATTTTCTATTATGTGTTCATTTAAATTGTTGGCAAATTCTTGTGGTGTTTGGATGCTGCAATGTTCATGTAAGTGTATAGCTGAATGTTCCTTTCAAGATGGTCTGGTTTGCTTCAGGGGGTAAAATCATGCACTGATTTACTGTTGGAGGGCATGTGAATGTGTTTAACTTTAGAAATGGAGTGGAAATTGGGATGCTCATTTAGTCGACTTAAGTGTGAATATCAGAAAACGCATCATGATTAGCTAGTTAGTGTCTCAGTAGTTGTCAATTAATAGTGTTTCAATGATTAGCATGTGAATGTGTTTAAACTTAGAAATGGTTTAAAATAGTTGTCAGTTTAGTGCTGGTTAGTGTTTCAATAGCTAGTAATTGTCAGTTTAATTTTGTGGTTATTCAGTGTCAATTCTACAGGATATGTTGAGGCTTCTGTGTTGGGTCAGACTCGATATTGAGTCTTGATTTCCAGTTTTGGTTTTGCAAGTCTTAGGTTCATGGAGCCTTAGATTTTGGGCCACTTTCGAGAGAGGATGGTACTTTGATGCATTGGGCTTGTCCGTTGAGCCCAATAGCTCGTATTGATTGTTGCTGGACATGTCTACATAACAGAGTTGATTCAAAAATGTGCTAAAATAAAATTGGAGGCTTAAGTTAACTAATTTGTGTTAATCAGTAGAGAATTAGAAATAAAGGTGTAGTTCAATCTCATGTTTTCATATAGTGTTGTATTTAATTGGTAATCCATGTGTTTGGTTATGAAGATGGGGCCAACGGATGGCCCAATTTGCCTAAAAGGCATATGGTTTGGACGTTCGTGTCTTCATTAAGCAGAGAGGGCTCACTTTGGACCCGAATCTGGGCTCCTGCTATGTTTAATTGGTTAGGTCCATTAATTGATGGAGGGGAGCCGTATTAGATAACACAAATAGCTTACGGCCTTCCAAAATTCAGTTTGAGCTCCCTTAAAATTAGAATCGAGGTGTTCCATCTATAACTAAATCACATATGGCCCTCGTATTGATTTCTTATGACTTAGATATAAAATGAAAAATGTTCGTAGTTTTGCTTTAGGCACGTTTAATATATTATCGTGGTTGTGGACACGTTCGCGTGACATGATTACGATTCCTAAAAAACAAAACTGGAGTATGCGTTTGCGCAACTTCGGCCAAACTTTCTTAATAATAATAAAGCATTATTAATTATGGACACGTTCGCGTGACACGATTTTGACGCACCAAACAAATGGGTATACGTACGCGTAACCCATTCCAAGATAATTTTCTTAATTAAAAGCGATGAAAGAGGCAAAAGCACATAGGTTCTAAAATGAGTAATTAAACAATTTAATAAGCCAAGTATGATCAAAACGACCGTGCTAGAACCACGAAACTCGGGAGTGCCTAACACCTTCTCCCGGGTTAACAGAATTCCTTACCCGAATTTCTTTGTTCGCAGACATAAACAGAGTCAAATCTTTCCTCGATTCGGGATTCTAAACCGGTGACTTGGGACACCACAAACTATCCCAAGTTGTGACTCTGATTTTTAAATAAATAATTCCGTTTCGATTGTCACTTTAATTGGAAAAACTCCCTTATACCCTTTCGGGGGTAGGAAAAAGGAGGTGTGACAAAGACTACTATTTGCCTTAACGTTTTTACTGTTGAAAACAGACTTAGGAACTCTTTCCTAACTCAAAACAGGCACTCTCACGTTTTCCACTTATCCCACAAGCATAAGGGTGCTGCCCATTTATAACACATGAACCAGCCCCTTAGCCTTACATTAGTTGCACTTAGGCTTAGACACTTGTCCCACATAGCCCACTTTTTTAGCCTAATGTAGTTGACATCCCCCAAATACTAGGAACTTGTAAGATGATGCCAATAATAATGGAAATATGGCAAAAAACGTGTTAACTTCCATTTGCCAGCATTTTGAACAAAGCCAACTGCTGCCCATGTGCACAGCATGTGCCGTAACCGCTCTTGACTTGGTCAATCTGAAGCTTGCTGCTCATTTTCGTGCCTTGGCTTGAATCAGGCGCCAATGCCGTTGTATCCAGCTGCATTGTAGCCACATTTTGCCTATGCCATTGCCCACAAACATGGTTCTTTGTCGCGCCCCGATGCCATGACAAGCCTGTCCCGCGTACTACCTTCCGTTGCATTT